GACCTCAAGTGATCCACCCGCTTCAGCCTCCCAAAGTGCTGGGATTACAGGCATGAGCCACCATGCCCAGTGCTTTCTGAAATATTATGTCTTTCAGTGCAATCTAAAATTATTTTCTTTGAGGGCAAAATATTGCAATAAAGTAAATAAATTTTTCATAATGTCAATTCATTTCAAATTGGGTTTTAGCTTAAAATAAAGAATTTTCTGGCCTTGGGAATGTGCAACAGTGGCCTAAATGGTCCTGATTTCCTTTTACTGAACCAAACTTGGGTCCACGCACTGGGCTCTGCAAAGCCGATACTGACATCAGGATTGCAGCAAGAGAAAGTGGGAGATTTCTTGCAGGACACCAAGGAAGGAGAATTGACAGCACGTGGTTAAGATGTGAATTCCCTGACAGCTTACAGGTAAGGGACTTCAAAGGTAGAGAGGCAGTGGTGACAAGCAAAGCCATAAATTAATACATGAAGGTGACATATTGGTTTGACCTAAAAAGGGGGAACATCTCAAAATAGGTATCTAGGGGTAATAGGTAGATTCGAAGATATTTTATTGTATTTTATTGTATTATATTTTGAGACAAGTTTGGCTCTTTGTGCCCTGTCTGGAGTACAGTGATGTGATCTTGGCTCACTGCAACCTCTGCCTCCTGGGTTCAAGTGAGTCTCCTGCCTCAGCTTCCTGAGTAGCTAGGATAACAAAAGCATGCCACCACTCCTGGCTGCTTTTGTATTTTTAGTAGAAACGGGGTTTCACCCTGTTGGCCAGGTTGGTCTCAAACACCTGACCTCAGGTGATCCGCCCACCTTGGCCTCCCAAAGTGCTGGGATTACAGGGATGAGCCCATCACGCCCAGCCAGGTTCGAAGATTTTCTGATTTGAGATTGGTTAAGGAGCTGAAGCTTTCTCTAAAATTTTGAGGCCAGCAGAAAAGAATGTTAGCTCTGGCTCATGGGTGTGACCTCCTCCAGGACCCCTAGGAAGAAATTTAGAACAACGAATGGTGGTCAGAGTTCAGTCCTCAGCTTCCGTTTCTCTGAGGTCTACGTTCTAGCAGATGGTATTTTCCATTCGGTGGCGTCTGGGTTTCTGAAAAACAGCTCAGGGACATATGTTAAGATGTCATCTTTAGCTTCTATAGTTTTTACAGTCACAAAACATTTTGTGACTCTAACTTCCTTGGGGATTGTTTTAAGCTATTCACTTTTTAAATGTTTTGTATTTTTTTTTCATGATGTTTTCTGACAGAGGGTAGATATAATCTTTTTTAAAATTTTAAGTTCCCAGGTACATGTGCAGGATGTTCAGATTGACATCCTCAGCAAACCTTCTCCATTATCAAGTTGCTCATCTACTTCTCAAGGCTAGCTAGTTTCCTGGAACTTCCCTTGAATGAACTCAAAATTTTTCTTTCTTTCCTGGAACTTCACTTGAATGAACTCAACATTTTTCTTTCTTTCCATGCTTGGGAAGATTGTTGGGGTGACTGGCAGGCCCCTATAGGGGATCCCTGCTCTGTCTAACCTTGTTCCTGGTAATGTTTGGCTAAGGTTGTTGCTGCCTGGCAGGGATGTTAAGGAATAGATTCCTATATAGGGCGGGGGGATGGGAGAAGATGCCCTGCACATGGGCCTTTCAACTCTAAGAATCTATGAGCTTCCACTTTCAGGCGCTCTTACGACCCCAGGGAAGGAGCGTGCTAGAGAATCTTCCGGAGTCATGGAGAATATGAGTCCATCTCCCTACGGGTGGGTCAAAGGTTCTCTGAGGGTTAGGTCTGTACATTAGGATCAATTCCAACATCAAGTTCAGTAGCCTCTTCCTGTGGAGAGTAGAGTAGGGACTTGGGGATGGAACTCAAGGGCAGAGAGAGCAGAACATGGGCCTAGGGATCAGACGTCTTCCAGGTCTAAGAAGACACAGATGCGAAATTAGGGGCAGTTGAGATTTCAAGCAGAAGTACGGTTTTCCCGTGGAATTTCTTTCTTCCTTACTACCTGTATTAATCTGTTTCTATGTCACTATAAAGAAATATCTGAGATGGGGTCATTTATAAAGGAAAGAGGTTGAATTGACTCACAGTTCTGCAGGCTGCACAGGAAGCATAGCGGCTTCTGCTTCTGGGAAGGCCGCAGGAAGCTTCCAAAAATGGCGGAAGGCAAAGGAGGAGTAAGTGTCCTACATGAAAGGAGCAGGAGTGAGAGAGGTGGGAGGGGCCACACACTTTAAGATCACCAAATCTCATGAGAACTCACTCACAGTTGCAAGGACAGTACCAAGGGGATGGTGCTAAAGCATTCACGAGAAATTCACCCCATGAACCAGTCACCTCCCACCAGGCCCCACCTCCAACACTGAGGATTACAATTCAGCATGAGATTTGGGTGGGGACACAGATGCAAACCATATCACCACCTCCTATACGAATCACCACCTCCTATACAAATCCCCAGCCCCAGACAGAGAGGAAGTCAGTGTAAAACGATTCTTATTTGAAGAATGAAAGGGCCAGGCAAGGTGGCTAATGGCTGTAATCCCAGCACTTTGGGAGGCCGAGGCGGATGGATCACCAAGGCCAACATGGTAAAAACCCCATCTCTACTAAAAATACAAAAATTAGCCAGGTATGGTGACAGCTGCCTGTAATCCCAGCTACTTGGGAGGCTGAGGCATGAGAATTGCTTGAACTCAGGAGGCAGAAGTTGCTGTGAGCCATGATTGCACCATTGCACTCCAGCCTGGGTGACAGAGTGAGACACTGTCTCCAAAAGTAAAATAAAATAAAATAAAATAAAATAAAATAAAATAAAATAAAATAAATCAAATATAATGGTAGCCTTCAGTGATTTTAAAAAAAAATCCCTTCTTTGCTTGGAGCTCTGTTTCTTTGGTCACCCGCTCTTTATCCTGGCAAAATTTTACCCTTCCCTCCTTCTATGGGAGATAGGAGAGGTTGCAACCAGTTATCTGGGCCGCTCCTTCTATTTCTGTCCCCGTGGCAGCCTAGTCTGGTCCCCATAGCCTAGTCTAGTCCCTGTAGCCTCCTGGCTGAACTACAATAAGAATCTCTTAACCATTCTCTGCCTCTGTTTCTCCTTCCCACTGAGTTTCCATCATGCCATTCCATCTTGCCCTGTGAATCAACACCTCAATCTGAAATTCAAGAGCAATGACAGGTGCAGTGGCTCACGCCTGCCATCCCAGCACTTTGGGAGGCTGTGGCGGGAGGATCTCTTGAAACCAGGAGTTCGAGACCAGCCTAGGCAACATAGGGAGACACCTATCTCTACAAAAATAAAAAATAAAATCCAAAAAAAATAAAGTGCTCTTAACTGCAAGTACTGATTTTCAGTGCAATCTAAAATTATTTTATTAAGCTGTTTCGAACATGAGCAAGTTCATATAGAAGGAGCCAGGTAAATGACAAGCAGGAATTTCTTTATTTGAAAACATTGAGTGATTCTCCCCTTGCCACCACAGGTCTGCCATTGGTGATTCATATGTTCTCATTTCAGCCACGTTCTCTTTTGGACGAGGCTTTGTGGTCTACAGGAGTGGAGTCTATGTCTTCTACCCCTTTTGAATCCTCCACTTCATTTCTTATAAAGCTGAGCACTGAGACAGGTACTTTATAAAATCTTATTGACACGCACACAGTGGCTGAGGAAATCAGCTACTCTTTCAATGGCGGCATTCCCTTCAAACAATAATCAGTGTTCTTGAAGGCCGGTGACAAGACCACTCCAACCACCAAATATATGGCAAGAATCTTTCTGGGAAGAGCAAACAGATTTTGAGGGGGCTTGAAGATGGAGAACACTCCAGAATTACAGACTTTGCTCTCAAACCATCTGCGCATGTCTGACCTATTGAGCCGGTGTCACTTGTCCCTTGCAGAATGTGTCTGCCTTGTTCCACAATCTGCCCATGAACATTTAGTGAGTGTCTGTTATTGGCAGCTCCTGGTTAGGTAAAGTGGGAACAAAGATGGACATGGGAGAGCCCCGGTCCTCAAGTAATTCAAATCTGCTGGCAACTGAGTCACATCAGAGCAACTATGACACAATTTAATAATTGTCTACAGAGTGTGGTTTGGCACAAAGGGCTTCTCAATTGCCAGGGGGAACAGGAGAAAATCTCCAAGGGGAGAAATATTTGAATGGGGTTTTGATGCACAAGGAAGACCAAAGCAATACAGATTTGAGGGAGGAGCATTATAAGCACAGGGAATGACATGTGAAAACACAGGGGCCAGGCATGCTGGCTCACAGCTGTGATCTCAGTGCTGTGGGAGGCCGAGATGGGAGGATGGCTTGAAGTCAGGAGTTTGTGACCAGCCTGGGCAACATAGTGAGACCCCATGTCTACAAAAATTTTTTTTAAACACTTAGTTGGGCATGGTGAACGCACCTGTAGTTCCAGCTACTCGGGAGACTGAGGCAAGAGGATTTCTTGAGTCCAGGAGTTTGAGGTTGCAGTGAGCTGTGATAACACCACTGCACTCCAGCCTGGGCAACGGAGTAAGACAATGACTCTAAAAAAAAAAAAAAAAAAAAAAAAACAAGGCTGGGTGCCGTGGCTCACTCCTGTAATCTCAGCACTTTGGGAGGCTGAGGCAGGCAAATCACGAGGTCAGGAGATTGAGACCATCCTGGCCAACATGGTGAAACCCCATCTCTACTAAAATACAAAAACATTAGCCGGGAGTGGTGGTGCACACCTGTAGTCCCAGCTGCTTGGGAGGCTGAGGCAGGAGAATAGCTTGAACCCGGGAGGTAGAGGTTGCAGTAAGCTGAGACTATGCCATTACACTCCAGCCTGGGCGATAGAGCAAGACTCCATCTCAAAAAAAAAGAGCACAGAGGAGTGGGAAGCAAGTGCCTCTGGTGCAGGGGTGGAGCATATGGTGGGAAGGGGAGGGAGGTGATGGGAAGGGGAGGGAGGTGATGTGCAGGGGGATTTCCTCTCCTGGCCCTGCCTTTCCTGTCAATTTCGGGCAGCCCAGGTGACCAGGCCCTCTTCCACCACTGTGTGAGTCACCACCTGTCTCCTCCACCCAGGCCTGAGTGTGGCCGATCAAGGTACGTGCTGTTACTAACATGTTCCTCCGAACACAGCGTCAACAATTAGTAATGAATGAGGCCAGACCCCCTGTGTCACCGGCTGCCGGAAAGCCAGCTCCAGAGGTGCCATCAGCCCCAGCTCACGGCCAGGGCTTCCTTCCCAGCCATGCCTGCAGACAGGCTCCTGCTCCAGGAAGTAGGACCACATTCTTAGGAGGGACATGCGGAGGGGAAAAACAGAAAGAAAAACTGCAGGAGGAGGCTGACCTAAGGCTGCCCAGACAGGGAGTGGCTGTGAAAAAGTCCAAGGTTTTCCTCAAACATTCCACAACGGTCTATAGACACTGAAAAAGCAGTGAGAGAGAAAAAGCCTTGAGAGAGAAACACAGGTGGAAAAGTGATAAGACAGCAACAAGTCCCACTTGCTCAAGAAGAGAAGGATTAGGCTTATAGGTAAGCAAGGAAGGAGTCGCTCCAAACAATGTCATGCGTGGGGTTCCAGGGAAATTTCTGTACAAAACCACATTAAACGTGAAGTCATCAAGCTGTTAGAAATGCCGAGATCCTGCTTTTAGACTGTGTAAAGTGACTAGTAAACGGCAGTTAGCTAGTAGTCGTTATCGTTATGTTATTTCTCTGTGCAAATACCCCCAAGAGACTCAGCCGGTTGCACACTTTCGCAGTCTGACTCAGCAAATATGTACTGGGTGACTTCCATGTGCCAGTAACTATCCTACATATAAAGACCATAGCAGTGAATCGCTGGGGTTTCTAACGCACCCATTGATGACGCATGGGTCACGCCTCAGACTAACTTATCAGACTGAAGAGACAGAGACGAAGGGAGAGAAGAACGTGCAGGCCTAGGTTTGGGGAAGGTGGGAAGTGCCTCTAGCTGCTGGAAGTCACCCACTACTGGGATGTCAGGTGGAGAAGGGCAGCCTGTAGGTTGGAGAGAGGAGAAGAAAGGGGTTGTTGGAAAATCTGAAGAGAAACATGTTGATTTTTCCCATTTTTGTTTGAGACTGGGTTTAGCCATAGCCAGCGTTTGGAAAACCACCTAGCTGCTCTGGTTATCCTGCCCAAAGGAAAAGTCACCCAAAGTTTGTAGATCACCGAAGTTTTTTCCTTTTTTTCCTGAAAATAGAAATGTCGGGGGTGGGGGGAGAACAGTAGGCTCAGGCAATGAGGAGCAGAAGGAGGGAGAGATTCAGTTTGTGTTGGGAGGTTCCACCTTGCCATCTGTGCACTGTTACTCCTCCTTCCAGAGCCCATGAAGCAAAATGGAACAGAAGGAGCTACACCCAACAGAGCAGGTGGCTGGAGGAGCGGCACAGGAAAGCCTGGGAGAAAGCTGATTTTCTATTCGGATGTGTCTGGCAGCATCAACCATACAGCTGCAAACCAGGATCGATTTCAGAGCTCACGGCCTGGCCACACGTGTCAGACACCTATGAACTTCTCATGGAGACTGTTCACCAAGAAGCATGAAGACAGCGCAGGTGACTGGAGGTGGCTCCCCAGGTAATACTGACATTCTTGTGCTCACAGGTTTTGCATCTGGGCAGCCAGCTTAATAGCGGGCCTTCGAGACATCCTTGTCTCATCTAAAGAAACATGAGGGCCAGGCGTGGTGGCTCATGCTTATAGTCCCAACACTTTGGGAGGCTGAGGTGGGAGGTTCACTTAGGGTCAGAAGTTCAAGATCAGCCTGGGAAACATGGTGAGACGTTGTTTCTACAAAAAAAAAAAAAGTGTTTTTAATTAGCTGGACATAGTGGCACACACCTGTAGTCCTAGCTACTCAGGAGGCAGAGGCAGGAGGATAGCTTGAGCCTAGGAGTTCAAGGCTGCAGTCAGCTATGATTGTGCCACTGCACTCAAGCCTGGGCAACAGAGTGAGACCCTTTCTCTAAAAAAAAAAAAAAAAAATGCGGGTTTTCTATCATCTTTCCCTATGCACTGCTTGTGTGGGGTTTACCCTGCCAACAGAGTGAACTCTCTAGCATTCAGTTTAGGTTCAAGCACCATTCAAACTTTATAATTGAAGATGACAGAAACTGGAAAAGTTCCCTCTGGGAAAATGGCATCGTCTTTTTGGTGTATTTATGCTTATGTGGAGAGTATGTGGGGAAAGGATAATGTACTTCTTCAGTTTATTTGTAACTAAGGGACTTTCAAGTATTGTTTTTCTTCAGTAGACTTTATATGTGAGGATGAGAACTGTGTTTCCTGCTGCGGATCTATTTGAGAAATTAGAGCAGTGTGGATCAATTTCCGGTCGCGGTATTCTTTGGCTCCCTGTTGGAGTGTGTGTTATGAGAATGGAGACCAGCATTCCTCCTCCGGAGCCTGTTCCAGCCCAGCCAAATTCCCCGGGAGCCTGGCACCCGGTCTGCTTACACAACACATTTTTAGAGTCTGAGTCATCCTCGGGTTTTCTTCTTGGTATCACATTGAATTCAACTCCACAGCATCCCATTACCTTGGCCTCTCCTTGTACAGACAGGTCGGCTTCACAGGCTTCCCAAGCACCCCGCCTTCAGGAAGCAGAGAAACCCAGGCAGATAAAAGGGTTGCATATATTAGACACCCACTCACCTGGGACAACCAGGGATTAGGAACAGCGATTATCATTCCCAACCCCAGAGAACGCACACAAGGCTGCCCGAGGCAACATGGTGAACCAACTCCAATTCATCCAGGAGGTTTTAGCCTCTCCTTATGTCAACACCAGCTGGCATAGTCTTCTATCCCCACTAAAATGTAATTTCTTTCCTTCTTTTTTTTTAGAGACTGGTCTTGCACTGTCACCCAGGCTGGAGTGCAGTGGCACCATGATAGCTCACTGCAGCTTCAAACTCCTGGGTTGTTCAAGCAATTTTCCCACCTTGGCCTCCCAAAGCTCCGGGATTACAGGCGTGAGCCACCATGCCTGGCCCTAAAATGTAATTTCATGCAACAAGTGCTTGCTAGCATTTTTTTTGGAGTGGGGAGGGCCCAGTGGGAGTAGCAGGCACTGGTCTGTGTGCTGGCGCTATGGTAATGAATGAAATAGGTGGGTGGGTCTGCTCCCTCATGGAGGTATTGAAAGCTGCCTTGATGTTTGTTATTTTTACCATATGAATTTTTTCTTTATGCTATATACAGATCTCCGTACATAGTATAATACTATACTAAGAAAATTAGGACAAGGTTGGGTGTGGTGGCTCATGCCTGTAATCCTAGCACTTTGGGAGGCTGAGGTGGGCGAACCACCTGAGGTCAGGAGTTGGAGACCAGCCTGGCAGACATGGTGAAACCCTGTCTCTACTAAAAATACAGAAATTAGCCAGGTGTGGGGGCGGGTGCCTGTAATCCCAGCTACTCGGGAGGCTGAGGCAGGAGAATCTTGAACCCGGGAGGCGGAGGTTGCAGTGACCAGAGATTGTACCACTGCACTCCAGCCTGGGTGACTAAGCGAGACTGCTTCTCAAAAAAAAAAAAAAAAAAAAAGAGAGAAAGAAAGAAAAAAGAAAATTAAGACAAAACAAACATCAATGAAGCATCCTCTTAAACAGAAAATTAGACTACAAAGGGGGAAACTACAATCTGAAGGTTGCACCAGTGCGGAGGGAAGTGGGCATCTGGTTCTTGGAGCAATGGGTTTGTATCTGAGTTTCAGGTGGGCCCTAGGTCTCCCCCTCCTTACTTTTTTTTTTTCTTTTTAAGATGGAGTCTCACTCTGTCACCCAGGTTGGAGTGCAGTGGCACAATTTCAGCTCACTGCAACCTCCACCTCCTGTGTTCAAGTGATTCTCCTGCCTCAGCCTCCCGAGTAGCTGGGACTACAGGCATGAGCCACTATATCCGGCTAATTTTTGTATTGTTCATAGAGACAGGGTTTCTGTTGGCCAGGCTGGTCTCGAAATCCTGACCTCAGGTGATCAGCTCACCTCGGCCTCCCAAAGTGCTGGGATTACAGGCATGAGCCACTGCACCCAGCCTCCCCCTTCTTACTAATTGGCCAGCTATAGGTCTCTCTTGTTGGCTATCTCTGTGTCATTTCTAATCAGTATGGGATAGATCAAGGGTGAGAACCAATTTTGCTCTGTTTAAAATTGAATGAGGCTGGACCCAATGACTCATGCCTGTAATTCCAGTGCTTTGACAGTCCAAGGCAGAAGGATCACTTGAGGCCAGGAATTTGACACCAGTTTGAGAAACATAGCGAGACCCCCATATCTACAAAAAACAGAAAATTTAGTGAGCATGGTGGTGCATGCCTGTAGCCCCAGCTACTCGGGTGGCTGAGGCAGGAGGATCACTTGAACCCAAGAGTTCAAAGCTGCAGTGAGCTGAGATCATACCACTATACATGGGTGACAGAGTTAGACTCTGTTCCACACCAAGCCAAAACAACAACAACAGAAACATCAAAAATTAAGCGATAGAGGACACGTAGAGGGAGGAAGGTGACAATAGCCATAAGACCTTCCTGAACCAGGAAGGAAACAGATTACTCGTGGACTCTGCGCATAAAGTGTTTCAACTGACAGGGGCTTCCTTCCTGCCACCCTCACCTCAGTCCACTCTTGGGGTTTGGCGTTACTGAGGCTGAGATAACAGAAGAGAGGCTTTTGTGATGTAACTTAAGACACTGTTTTATCATGATTTTATATATATATATAAAATTACTTTTGCACCACCATGCCTACATATTTATATATGTAAATACTAGGTAAAGTTTGCATTGTGAGATTTCCAGTGATCTGAAATAAATATCTAACTGCCCCTTCTCCAAGATTCCCTGGGCAGGGTCACTCAAACACAGGTGCAGGTTGCCTCTTAGACAAAAATGCTGGTCAAGAGGGCAAGAGGAATGGGGCACTAAAATTCAGCTACCAACACTATTGAGAGACAATGCCCTTTTCTGTATGTGCTTGATTGTTGAGTAAGGCCATTTCCTTACCCCACAGAGGTAGTGGTACAAGGGTGATAATTTTGACATGGCAGACTTAGCAGCAATAGCCTGATACTGACTTTTCCAGAATCTAGGAGTCTAGAAGCATTATGGAGCCAATTCATTCATTCGATAAAATGTTATTGTTTTTCAATAATGGGTCACCAAGCTAATACTAGTGTCCTTAATCTCCCCAACATTCATAGAAAAGAACTGAAGAGCTATTTAAAGGCATTGTGTGTACGTGTGTGTGTGTGTACCACAAGTGCAGAGGGTTGAGCTGATTACATATCTCAGTCCCTCACAGAGTGTTAGCTGTAAACCACACAAGGCATCACTGTGTTTTGATTTCTTCTATCTCATTACTTCACTCCCATTCCCCTTCCCTTTCCAGGCAGCCATTTTGATGACTTTAGTTTGTATCTTTGTGGATGTATACCATCTTGCAAAAATATGTGTTACTTTGGACAAATCAATTCTAAATTTATATACATTATGTACTATATGTCTCATTTTCTTTTTATTTTTTCTCACCAACTGCTATTAGTTGAGTCTTTAGAGGAGGAGGGATTTACTTCCAAGTAAAATGTGTCTTTCTGACCTTGGAGAAGAATGCTTTGACAGCAACTTTGATCTGGAGAGAGAGGAAACCAGTTCTGCTCCAGCTATGACACCTGTCCACAGACAGGTGCTCAGTGGGTATTGATTCCAGAACCTACCTGGATCACTTCCATAATGGCCACTCTTGGCAACATCCTAGCTGCAGGTGCCTGTCTCATTTAGACCAGGTCCTAGTGCTGAGTTTTGACTTTTCGGCACTTTGCCATTAATACACAGAACAAATAGCCCCTCTGTATTGACACCCAATGATATCACACAGGCCACTAGCCTTTGGGGACACCAGTCATTTCCTAAGAGTACATTAGGCACTAATGTTTCAGTATGTCTTGCAGTCCTTTACTCTTATTTTTATTAGAATTCTAGCCCTTCCAAAAATGGACTGCTGGCTTTCTAGGTATATTTCCCTCGAAATAACACCTGTCAATCACCTTATCTTCGTACCTACTTACAATTACTAAACACTAAGTACGTTCTCCCAACTCGAGACTTAACATCTGTACATTCTCTTTACCAAATGATTCCATAATGATAACTGATGAAGTTCTACCTTTGTAAAGCCTTCTCAAATCCCTAATTTTCTCAAAATATGAATGTGTCTTCCTGCATGCTCATAAGAGATGTTCCTAGTCCCTCTATAGAAATTTACATGACTGACCTGCATTGGAATTGATTCTGTGTGTGCTGTTTCCTTCCCACTGAGCTGAGAACTTCTGGGGTATGAGGCAGGTATTGTCATCTCTGTATATAGCCTATAATGCATGGCATATGAGTGATATAAGTGCTTCACAAAGGCACTGCTCATTGCAGAGCATGGGCTTTGATTTCCAACAGACCTGGATTCAAATTCTGACTCTATCACTATCAGGGTGAACTCAGGCTAGCTGATTAACCTTCCTGAGCCTCAGTTTTCTCATGTGTAAAATGGAGATAACAATATCTTGAAGGAGATAAAGAGAGTCAG